ACTTTTAATTTAACTTCCGTCCCGGGGGGAAAACCGTGCAGCGGATGGACTCTCCCGGCTGCCACTCAACGAAAATGAAAATGATGAGGATGATAATCAGCGGTTACTGGTGTCTTTCCTAAGCAGTGAGCCAACCTCAGCTTTGACTAAGGAAGAACTCCAGAAGGCGACTCAAGAAGACGACACACCCTGCCGCGTTCAGAGGTTTCTGCTAACCCGCTGGCCACAAGATAACAAGATCACAGGCGAGTTTCGTCCGTACTACGTGTTGCGTCACGAACTTCATTTCTAGATGGATGTTTAATGCGCGACGAAAAATTTGTGACGTTTCGGAACTTGAGCAGATGATCATGCTCTGTGCTGTTGAAGAACACCCTGGTATCGTTTGTACGAAACGCTAGGTTGACGTAAGCTGCTGGTAGCCCAGGATGTTCCTCAAAATAGCAAAACTTTATGACTACTCTTCATGTTAAAGAGCAGAAAAGAGTTCAAGGCCGGTTTCCTCCTCTATATAACCCATTGATTATTTTATGCAACCGTGGGTCAAGATAGCTCGACGTTATGGGCCCATTTAGCTCAGTCCCTCAGCATCAAAGGAACTGTTTATTGGCGAAATGCTTTTACATTATATGGCCGGAAGTCCGTTTGTGCGGAGACGTGACTACGGTTAGCATTATTCGATGGTTGAAATACATGTTCTCACGTTTCGGATTACCAGAGGAGATAGTGACGGACAACGGTCCACAGTTTACAAGTCAAGAGTTTCTTTCATGCCTTCAACTTCACGCCGCACATCCGATTCCTACAACTAATAATTCCGACGAGTTAGATCGTGGCCATCGATAGCAGACCACTTACCGGAAGGTTACTACTCCGCTACAGCCCGGAACATTCTTGCGAGTGAAGGTAAACGCTGCATCAAAAGGACAGCCCACCTAATCAGCTCCGATAAGAACAACGCGCGCCTGTGGGACAGGCACTTACCGGGCTGGAAGAGGGCCGCACAGTCAACACACGGAGGTTATACACAAGTAACAGACGAAAGGAGCATGTGGCACCAACCTTCACTAAGGAAGATACGAACAACACGCTGCTCTGCAGGACGGACCGAAAACCAAGCCTACCGAATCGATATGATTTCGACGCACCACATGATTAGTTGAAGAAATGATGTGGATATCTCCAGCACGCGTGATGGCTGATTAAGACAGACACGCGCACACAACCCCAGACACATACACATATAAGTACATAATTATCTGCTTCCCTATTTGTTCAGCCTTCTACTTCCGACACTTAATCTACTCACGCAGTTAGATACATTTGAGATTACAGTAGTTAGCCTACCGTACAGAAATTCTAAAATCGGTTCATGCATTTGACTTTTCGTATACAACACCATCCAATATCGGAAAATCTATCAGGTCTTGACACATCACAGTCTTACGCAGTGCAGAATTCGGCAATATCAGACGACACACAGAGTCAGGTCCCATTGGCGTTCAGTTGCACCGACTTCACGCCATCACTTTATCTAAAGAATGACGCAAAGACTGTTTTCTTACCCAAAAGATTGGGTTCAGATGTCGCACGTAACTTGCCTGACTACGAATCAGACCGTTTGGAGCAGAAAGGTATGATACTAAAGTGGAATACTCAGACTGATCAGCGCCCCTGGTGATAGTGAAAAAGGCAAACGAAACCATTCGCTTATGTGGAGATTTTTCTACCGACCTGAACGCAGAAATGAATCTCAACCAATACGCGCTACCATTACCGGAGGATCTTTTCGCCAGACTCAACGACACTCGGGTAGTTCCAAAGATTGATCACCCAGATGGCTGTCTTCAAGTGGTAATCTATGATGGCGCACAGCGCCTTTTTATAATTAACACTCGCCGTGGCCTCCAACAGCAAAATCGGCTACCATTCGGTGTGGACTGCCCCGAATCGGTTTCAACGACTGTTGGGGTTACCAAGCTGCTGAACGTACCATCAGATTGAGCGTACATGGACGATATTATCGTCACACGATCACACAGAACCCGGCATAGTTACCAGCTCGCCCAGGTATTCTAACACGTAAGGGAAGATGGTTTGACTCACAGAGCTGATAAATGGCATGCTTGCGCATAAACTGAAATACCTTGGTTTCATTGTACTTCGTGACGGACGAAAACGCGATATCAGAAATATACGCGCCCTAGAGAAACTACCGTTGCTACAAGATATACCTACTTTACGATTGCTCCTGGGCATGCTAAGTCATTACAGTGCATTCCTTCCTGATTTGCATCGACTTCGCGGAAAAATCCTCCCTGGTTTTAGTCAGCTCAATGCGTGAAAGCTTTTATTATTATTATTATTATTATTAATATTATTATTATTATTATTCTGAAAGCTCTTATATTCGACTTAATGCTGGTAACTTAAGACCCAAGAGAAAATAACGTTTTCTGCTTGTGCCTCTAGTTATGGCTTTGGAGCGGTTCTCCGTCAGCGGTTCGATTCCAGCACCATGAGACCAGTTACGTACGCATCCCGTGCTTTAACGAAGTCGGCACGAAACTATTTACAGATGGCGCAAAATTGCAACGCATATTGCAGGGTAGAGGATTCTTACTGGAGACTGATCACAGAATATTATTGGCAATTTCGGGTGCAAAGTAGGGTATATCAGGGTACACGGCGAATCATCTCCAACGTTGGATGACACTGTTGCCCGGATATAATTGTATCATAGCTCACGTGACCATTGTAGTGTTCAGCTATGCCGATGCACTCCCCCGACTTATTGCAAAACAGCCGAGTATAGAAGTATACCAAGTGATCGTGTCAGTTTCGCTTCAGTTAGAGTCCTTCCGATTAGTTCTGTGAGTATCCAGAGGCACACCAAACTCGATATTCTTTTGCAAAACTTTATGCGTTTTTGAACATAAAGAGACCAAACAGGAACACTGACACATACCTTCACCAAATTTTGTCGACGTAACTCCTCGTTACCGGCCGTTAACTGCGTTGGGTTCGGTAAACGAGTCCTTGTTCCGAAGTCCCTACAGGCAAGCATATTAAAATATTTGTACCTACATCACCCCGGAATATAGCGGATGAAACTTCCAGCTTACAGGTACGTGTATTGGCCTTTCACTGAAAGTGTCATCTAGTAGTGTGCTGTCACGTGCAACAACTACGCTCCAGCAGCGAGATTGATCCAACCGTGAATGCCAGCCTCCAAGTCTTGGGAGAGATTTCACCTTGATTCTCTGGACCAGTGCAAAGTCTGTGTTTCTTGATTGAGTTGATGTTTTCATCAAGTGGTCAGAGGTGTACCTGAGGAACATGACCACGACAGCGATCACAGCACGAAAAGTACAAGGATTAGTTGCGCAGTTCGGTCCACCAAACACTTTGGTTTCCGATAACGGTACACAAATTGTCTCCGATGAATTTATTGTATTCTGTCAGAGTAATGTCATCAAGGACTGCCGTTCATCGCCGGGGCATTTGTAGTCCAATGGCCAAGCAGGAAAATGTGCGGATACTATGAAGCGTTAACTGCTAAAAAGTGGGTGAAGGAACCACAAGTGAGCTTATGAAACTCTTCTTGCAACCTTATAGAACTACGCCTAACCTCCCTTCACCAGGAGGCTGATCCACAGGGAAGCCATGTTCGGATTTGAAGTACGCCTACCAGTTGATGAAATGCGCCCGAAGATTGTGAAACAATTTATCGCATCAGATGTGACCAGGAGTTTTCATCCAGGGAACCTTCGTTCATTTTGAGCACAAGCCTAAACCATCAAACCCGACTACCTGCAACGGAACAAAAAAGATAAGGCACCAGGCTTTATGAGATGTCTATCTGGCCGTTGTCTTTTGTTTGGCCCATTAATCAGTTACACAAACTACGGATCGAACACACAATCTCAACCACTTCCGAGTTGCCGTTGGATACACTGCTGGTCACTTCAGGGTTACCAAAGACTGTGAAGCACAGGGAGCCGACAGAAGTGCTTTCAAAACCATGCTTTGAATTTGTCCGGAGATCTATGTGGACAACTCAGCAAATCCCACCTTTACGGTGGAACTCTGCACTTCATACTTACGAGCCGGGGAAACAGTGCGTTTTGACGAGAAAGATATTGGGTCCAACGATTCGGTGCGTAGGAGTAGAGCACCAGATCCTCGCACGACTCTGAATATGAAAATCACTCACATCCACTGTTTTAACACGGTCCATAGCTATGGAGCCGCAGATCATGGGAGGTGGTCTGTCTGACACACTCTCTTCGCTCACCGTACTCCTCTGTTACCCTATATTGTATAGCGTGGTTTGATGTTTGGTCAATGCACTACCCGGTGCGGTGGCTTTCTTCTGACGAATCTACGCCCCATCAACAAGCTGGAAGACTGCCATTTGCAAGATCTTCTTGGTTTATTTCCAACAGCTCTAGTTTACTACTCGAAATGTGCAAATACTATTAAGAAATCGTGTCCAATGGTCTTGTGCACTGTGGCTAGTAATTACATATTGCACCCACCGAAGCTGTAGTTGGAATAATTGTCACTGTCTGACGATAAGGAACGTATCGGTCGGTGGCTGACAAGAGGGTTTCTAGGTAAAGATTTTAGGTAGAGACTCATCACGTCTAGGCTAAGTCAGACAGCCATCACATTCTCAGAAACGCAATTTACGGGCGTTTCATCCCTTCGGGAATCGTCAGCATTGCGCATTCTATCTGACCACTGTGGGGCTCCAACTCGCAACTCGACTGCTGTCATTGTTCCAGTTTAGTGCCCTCCGAATTATTTCCGAGGTTCCTTCTTTGTACGAGATTTCTAACGTCCCTCTCCAATCCGTTGTGGGTTTTACTATTGGTTTAACACTTTATGTAACTGGCCCTCGTGTACTACTTTTATTTGTTCTCGGTGCACATTTCCTGAATTTCACAGTTCAGCGACTCAAGTTTGTTCCGTACCATTCATCCCAACTCCTCTAGGTCATAATCGATCTGAGTGTCGCTGACCTCACTGGTTTGCTGTACCGATACCCACTGCAGTTGGAGCCGTCAAGTGAATTCTCTTCCGAAGCAGCCACACCGGTAAGTTCGTTAGCCATTTTCGTTACTTGAGATCCAAACCACCCGAATGCCGTTGTAGTCAAAAGTGTACTGTCTCGATTAACGTTATGCCTTTCTAAGCAATTGACAAACATTTACTGACTTGGCTTTAACTTCATGTAAGGAGATAATTGTTGTCATACATGATAGAAACCGAAGAACATTTTAGATTAGTTTTGATTTTTCGCGGTTTTGGTTGCAGGTTCTGGATGTTGCTGCTGCATCTGATCCCCGTATTGCACTATGTAAGTTTCCAGTATATTTTGCAACAATATTTTATTTCGACCATGAGAGTGTCGTAATTTATGCAAACTGTTGGCGCGTCTAATGTTTGTGAAGCACTGTCTCAGTACAGTGATATGGTTCCAAAATAACACGCCTCAGATACAACTTGCAAAGAGTCCGTGGTTATGATTGCGTACAATCCCATAAGTCCTAAAATGATTGATTACAATGCCATTTTGAAGTAGTCGCAGCTTGCTTTTTTGATTTAACTAATCACCAACGCTTTTTGGAGGCGTATCCACGAGAGTTTCTTATAGGTTAATATACCACGCGGATTTCTGTGTAAATCATGTAAGGAGTGAGTGCAACGGTATGAATTGGGACATCGACTTAAGTGCCCATAAAGTATCCCGTGTTGCGTTGACTATGAAGAAGAAACAACTATAGACACAGGTACGCGCGTGCGCCTGCGACGCTAATGCCAGTTTGTGTGAAGTGCTGTCCCGTTCAGCACCACTCGCCTGAAGTGTGCGTGACAACTGCATCAATAGGCTTAGATGGTCTTGTTGGCGCCATTTTGGAAAAGCATCTTTTGCTTGTGGTATACGCATGACACTTCACTTTGACTCGAGCCACTCAATTTTTAATCTGTCGTATCCATGTGGTTCTTCAGTTGATTTTTGGCATCGAGACTGCTCGATTGATAGAAACATCCATTTTGGGAAGCGTAACCTTATTACAGTGCATCAAGAACTGTATTAAGTGATAGGTTTACAAATCACCTATTCCCACTTATGTGTATGGTTGACCTAGACGTTGGCATCCTGGGAACTGAGGATTCAGCTGCTTTTCGACTGGGGGTAAGACTATCTAAAAACCTATGATAACTAGGTGCTGTGGGACGCGAACATGGGGTTGGGACTAGATGTTCACGGTGAGTCATCCATACTCCATCTACAGAGGTACAGTGAAATCCGTGCCTACATTCCAGTCTCATTATTAAGCAGTATAAAAATCTATATGGAAAAAACCAAGAAAAATTATGAACAGCTAAGGAAATAAGCATTTTCTTCCAAAATTCCAAGATGGGAAGAAAGCACAACATTTAGACGGGATACAATGAATTCAACTATTTTATTTTATTCTCGTCTACCTTTCGAGCACAAAGTTAGAATGGCAAGTTTGTATACGGAGACAATGTAGGTGCTACATCAGGGATGGATTGATGGCGGTCACAGTTCATCTGACACTGACAAGCAATTTTCCTAGAGGAAGGTGGCCACCAACCTCACATAGGTAAGGCGAGACTGTATACAAACTTGGTCTACTCATGGAGAGTGGATTTTACCGGTGTCTCAACAAAATGAGCTAAGCTAGCGACACTCTGTTGGTGGATTATTTCAAATGATTCACGTGAGTTTTCACAAATGAGGCATTCAAGTGTATGCTTGATGATCCAACTAGAGGGTAGGTTTGGACCATTCACGATCTGGTTAAGCGGAAATATGATAGAAAACGTCAAATGTTCGTTTTAAGTATTATTGAACAGAAGTAAGGGGCCGATGGCGAGTGTGAATGGGACTTCAGCTGCGCAGCAGGTGATGCCACCTATCCACATGCCAATACTGCCCTCACCGTTGCTTTCACACCCATCCTTGGACGATAAAGTTACACACTGTTGTCGTTAACAGCAGCTTAAGGCCTGAAAAGTCACACGCATTGCCAACACAAGAGGTTTGAGCTGCCACACGAAACTACCACTGATGGCGCACCCACCTAAATGGGCAAAATGATTAACAAAGTGAAGGATGCAAGAATTTGGAAGCTACTAATCTCTCCAAGCACTGCGATTGACGATTGATTTCATCGTGACTTGCACTGTTCGGGTAACCAGTGCCTGACCCGTGAGTAGAACCAAACTCGTCGTGGTTGACGGCTTACGTAGTACTCACTATTACGGCGATCCGTGAGAAGCACTGGATCCAGCAGTTATGACTTCATTGTTGGATCTTTGAGTACCCGTCATGTGTCTCGATAGCTACAAGTAATCTTAATTAAGGCGAGAGTGCAATTTGAAGCAAACCGCTGCCATTTCGATCGCTGGGACTACATCCGAAGTGGGTAGTTACGGAGCTGCAGTCTACCAACACCGTACTCACCCGACCGGCTTCGTCCTGATTCGGACTTTTCAGGTGAAGGTAACCTTAGCTGAGAGTGGCACGTGACACATAGTAGTTGACGGCTTAAGCCTCGGTCGCTAAGTCAGAATGATCGAAAAAGCAACAAGTTGCTCCAACTTAGATCGTGGTTTCGATTGGGATTACGGTTCGCAATCCAGACATACAAGAAATACTCTACGATCCAACAATGAAAGGTTGACACAGAGTCGGTGGCCTCTAGGCTGCATCGCTAGCTTTTGAGATAATCACTAAAGTATGAATCGCGCTGCCAGTATCTAATAGTGATGTATGGTAACTACAGTTCACATTCGGGAAATTATGATTTCCAGTGAAGTGTGTCTAAAACCCAAAGTAGAATACCGCCGCAGGATATGCCGATGAGCAGCAAGGTGGGATGTGGCGGAACGCAACTCCCTATGGACAATTTAACACGCTACCAAACAAATGAAGTAACAGTGAATAAACTACCGAATGTATAAAAGTGGCGGGGTGGAGGCTTTGGGACTGATTGGAAACTCAGCCAAAGACAGACCAACGCATAGCTTTTAGCATAGGGTAGCTACGATCGTTCATGATGAATCATATAACACCGTGAAAGATGAAACAACGGTATTCGGTTTAGATTAATTAAATTAATGGAATACTGGATCCCCTCTGCCAACTCGGTGGATGTGGAGAGAGAATGGGTTTCGATATGTCAACTTTTAAATTTCTACTCCCAGTGGCACACGCAATATATGTAGAGGACAACATATTTATATTTGGAACTAAAATACATCGGCAAACTAAAGCTGCGTAATCCTGATGGCAATTTTATGGACTGCCTCAGTTTCTTTGTGCGCACAGCATCTGCATGTTCGCTGTAATCAGTGACACCTCAATGCTTGCCAGATTTTTGATGTTGCGTTTGATCGATAGCTCTTTGAGTGCGTTTAACTGAGCAACGTAATCACCAGTCGTCACGGAATGCTTTATGATGGACGAGTTGGGGTTCCGGTGCTTCATCTTATCCATCCATCCTTGTTACAACGTGGATCACCTCGACCATTTGGGAAAACGCTCAGCCAATCTTTGAACCAATCACCGGTTGCTTCTGCTTAAATAAACCGCATTGCAACTGCAGGTGAACTGGCAAGTAGCATGAGAGTTCAAACCGTATGATCAGCTATCTGGACACTGCAACCAAGAACAAACCATAAATGAACTTGTCTAGGTGCATTCACTCCTAAGAGACAGATGTAATTTTCAAAAGGACAGCCCTGATATGATTTGAACTACACAATGAAGGTAAGTAATATCCTAGATGATGGATAGGACCAGGTAATATTGATACAAACAGGTCAAGAGTCAAGCGTCAAGCATGTGTATCATATTGACTCAGTTACACTGTTCACTAATATCTGACTCACTGATGATTGGCTGGGCGGTGGCACAGTCTGATTGGATCGGGGAATGGCTAGCATCGGTCATGCGAAGCATTTGGTTTCAGATTTCGTATATGCCAGGACTGTAGAATGCCTGATCCGAAATTGGATTGCTCGATTGATGAGTGGATAAGCTTGCCATCTTAGCTCTTGTTTCTTTCGTCGTTGTTTTCCTTGGTCTACGTGTTGGATTGTTCTTAAAATTACTCGGCCGTTTTCTGTAACAGGCCTATCCTGTCATGCAGCATTCGCGGCCAGTCTTGTGAATCCTAGGGGGGTTGTATTTTATTCTTCGGTTGATACACACCGAATCATTCATCATTCCGTTATCCCATTTAAAATGTATATACCACACAGAAAGTGGAAGAGGTATGTGGACTACTTTCTTACCGACACATTGGAGATGGTTCTAACTGGCAATCGGTTCATTAACCAGACCATCCAAACCTTGGTTTTAACCTGCTGTCAGACGGACTAGGTGACAGGAGTATGAACGAGCAATTGACCATTGAAACATTCCTGGCATTATCTGATTCTAGCACTTTCGTCATACTACGACTAATTTGATCGTGATTTAGGCTCTTCAGATAGAGATAGTCTAAAGTGGTAATCGAGACAAATAACTCATGATTTTCCAACGACTAGTTTCCCACTACATGCGCTAACTTTGCTAACAGCGCTGACCAACCTCGATGTGCTATGTTTCCTTGAAAGGCGTGTAAGGGTAATGTTGCGGAACGCTGGATAGTGGTCAGTGTAGAGGGAAGTGTTACAGATATATTGAAAACACGCCACTAACGTTCAACATCTATAGTACATATGAAAGTAGCCTACATGAGTAAAGGAGTAGCATTTTGTTCTGTACGTACTCGATTGTTCAGTAATAACAGGGCCGTTGTGGGCGATGCTGTGATTGAATCGCAGTTGAGAAGATAAGTTGCTGTTGTCGGCACCACAAACATTACTCAAGAAATATTCCCGATGCTACTTCCTTGCTCTAATTGGCGTCTCGCTTGGTTTGTCATGATATCAACAGCGGTCACAAATTGATGTTATCGCTGTTAAGGAGTCGCTAACATACTCAGCTCTTTGGTTGCTTTGTACTTATCTTCAAAAAGGTTGTCACTCCGTAACTTTGACACTAGCCTGAAGCTGAGTTATCCACATGAAGCCATTCCCTGAACTCAGCTGTCTGTGCCCGAGTCAATTAATACACACAGGAAATATCATGCGTTATCGAATCTATAGGCCTCTGAAATAAAATTGGACTTCATTACATGTAAACGCAGCATGGCGCTGTTGATTTCCGCCCATTCTTTCGATACAACTTATCGACTTAATGCAAACGCAGCATCAGGGCTTTTCACAAGTTAGCTGACCTTATAGAGCCATTGGATGTTAAGTTTCCCTACATAA